CCTACTGCATCAATAGCTGAAATCTTTTGTAGCAGCAACGCCCAATGGGCATTACATCAGCGATGCCCATCGATTGTTGTCGACGTGAACTCATCCACAGCCACAGCGCCTGAAGGAGACGACGTCCACTCCTCCGATTTCTCTTTTTTTTTTTTCCCGGATTTTATAACCCTGGTCCTTTAAAGAGGGTGGCGTTTGGTCTTTCAAGCATAATTGTATCTTAGGTCATCAAAATTGTAGATTAAGTCCTTCGAGTTAAAATTGCAGAATATGTCATTTTATATCAAAATTGCAACTACAAGTCTACAACCCGAACTAAATATAAACCCTAAATCTATTGCAAAAATTGAATTCAAAGAGGAATATATGGAGCCGTAATATACCCTTCTTGTGATATGACTCAATACTAAATTACATGATCACTACATAAATTCTAAGGCGATAAAGTCGTTCAACAAAACATCATTCATCTAATAACAAAATAAATCACATAATCATAATAGTGCACTTCCTAATACTTGCATAAACAAAAAATATTTAATTTATGAAACTTGAAATAATATCAAAATCAATGGCTCTGATACTAATTGTTGGAGAAAATAGAATTTTATTAAATTATGTAACGACAAGAATATAATCATTTTGGAAGATTGATAAACATATGGGTATTTTAGGAATTACCTTTGTAGTGTGTTTTAAAAAACATTCCTTCAATCTTTAGATAGTCTTGATTCCACCTTCAAGTTTCCTTCGTATTTGATCTTCTTGATTTATCTTCGAACATTTTGGCCTTCTCCGATGTTCTTCAACAACTCAAAATTATAGAGAAATTATATGAACTATAATTAAACCTCAATACTAGTGCCTATTTATAATATAGATATCACTTAGAGAAGAAAATATCACAATCTGAAAATAACTCTTTCTTTTCCTTGGATAAAGATACTAATCTAAAAGGACTCTTTGTTTTAGTTCTAATCCAAACCAAAGTCTATCAACTTTCTAAAATTTTACGGTCTATATGATTTGAGTCATTGATTAAGAATAAGAATATAATTAAAAAGCTACTTATAAAAAAATTTGTTTCCCTTTTCATTTCATCAGTAAAACTTATTTTACCAGCAGAAATTTCAGACGTTCATGTAGATTATACAACATCAAAGAAAACTAGCCTACCTAATCATAAAAGAAACAAGTCCACGTCGGGGGAAATGGTGCTGGAGAGAGAAGATGTATTCAGCTACAGACGAAATGGGTTTGGAGGAGAGGATGAGGTTAGATTTGGGGGAGTTATCGGAGAGAGAAAATGTTTTCAGCTACAGACAACTTCTTCTTTTGGCGCCCAATGCTATAAAATATTCACAGCCGTCCACTTGAAAATTATCTCGACCGTACACGTCCTTTTGTGAAGCGACTTTGTAAAGCAACTTGGTACAAACAGCATTTTTGTTCATATTCCTAACGTTCCCCAATTATTTGACTTTATTTCTCAAGGCATTGATTTATTGACCAGGGATTTGATCACAATCAATGATACCTCAAGAACCTCAAGAACTTTGTAAACCATTGTTACACAAATTATTACGGTGGGGGAAGATTCATGAGAGACAATCAATTGATCTTTCAAATTCAGTAATTGGTCTGATTAGATTACTTTTCACAGACTTTGACCTTCCACGGCCAAATTTTCGTTAGTCATGTGCTTAGTTTTCTCTCTTGTTCTACCACCACACATGGCCTTACATCGCTCTATATGTACATATTTATGTGGATAAGAAACGTGCCAACTAAGCAAAAGAAAAATGAAAGGTGAAAATCAACAAAAATATTTTGTTCTAGTGCATGATATATTGTTGCGTTTTTTATATCGCAAGTGTACGATATCGTAACAAGTAATATAGTGGACCCTTGAGTTTGGATATCGTTCCCACGAAGATTATATTTTAGGACTTAATCTAATTTTTCTAACTCTTATTTGAGAAAAGCGAGTAAATAATTATGATGGCTGTGATTATTTTTTTTCTAATTACTTTTAACTAATTGAAAATATAATAAGATTACAAACAATGGATAATTAAAAATTCAAATATGTGATTAATATTAGAGAATAACAATTTCATCTATTGATCACATTTATTCTTAATTCAAGATTCATAAACTAATTTAGTGTTCGATCCAATTCTTCTATTGTATTCAATTTACTTCTCTCGAGTTCTCATTGAGCCTATTTAACTAATTTAATTTCATATCTTTATGTGAATCAATTTTAGTTAAACGAAATACTAGTTCTAAGAATTCATATTAT